AGTAAAGTGGTCCCTGTGGTGTGTGCTCTAAAACAAGCAAGTGCAAATGGGAGAATCAACAGTCATTCTATACAAACTATATATGGATTGGTTGCTTAGTGCACAAATACACATGTAAGTATAAGCCCACTGACAAATGGAGATTTTTATACAGCACTAGGGTTATCAAAAGTATCAAAAACCAAATACAAATCGATATTAAAATTTGTATTAAACTTAAGATATTGATTTTAAGCAAGTAACGTCTCCTGAATAGCTTTAGGATGATCTTGAGTATAAAAGCGAATACCGGCCCGAGCGTCCCCCTGGCTTGAAAGTCCCTGCTCAAGGGTCTCATTCTCTCAGCGGGAACGTCCCCCTCCTCCTTCCGGACGCCCCTTTAGTATGTGAGCTATTGAGTTAGAAAATCAGCATTCTAAATCATAATAAAATGAAATGTAAATGTAGCGAGACCAAATGTTGGGCCTTGTTTGTCTCGTATTTTAATTCATTTTTTCTTGTTCCGCATGTCCTATAGCATCTGTAACTGTTGATTTGGGAAGAAATATAAATTATTTCCGTACCTGCTGCCATGAAGATAATTTGTAAGCAGCGCGACACAAGAAATTTAAAAAGCTACAGAATTTGTTCAAAAATAATTCAGAATAATTTTTTGGAAGGTCTTAACTATGTATTTCATCCAAATTTGTAAGATAAAATCCTGACTATTCCTCGCATGTGTAATCAATACTATATATATATATATAATGTAAAATATATATACATTATTATTTATATGTATATAGATTAACTAACTTTCATAAAGGGTACAATTCAGGGGGACTTTCCAGCTGATTCCCATAAGAGCACACAGATTAGTAAACGCCCATGGAGCACTATGGAACCTGCGTGAACAACTGAGAGATTACACAGATATTAGACGACATGGTAATAATATAAAAGAAAGTACTATAATTTTAAGTTGAAAATAGAATTCTATTGTAAAAAGTGTTTATTATTATCTCTATTGAGCAGGAAATTGAGTTTGAAATGTTACCATCATGGCAACACTACACAGTACGCACTTTTCTTCAGTAGATTTCATGTTTCCAACCAGTATGCACCATTACTACTAATATCCACACCGATCCAAGAAATTCAGCTGAATCGGGTATCAGTTCCATGATATCGGTTAAGCCTCTAATTAGATGTAATGGGACTATTTACTGATTAATGTAAGCCCAGAACATTTCATAATGTTTGAACTTGTATTTATATAAAGCTGTTCTGTACTTATGTGCATGATAAATAGGAGTTACATAACACAATTGGATCAATTTTGGAATAAATTAAGTGTGAAATGCCATATTCAGTTGTTCCCACGCTATCAGTTAATATTATTATTAGTTTGTAAGACCATAAATGAAAACAAAAAAATCCTTACATTTTTTCATTCTCATTGAGGTTTATTTTGTATGATAATAAATGATAAACTTTTGTGCCTTCTTTAACGTTGCTATTAGTTTGTACAACCATAAACAGGGGAAAAAAGGCATCTTTGAAAAAATGAAGAGAAGAACTAAGAAAAAAGTGATTGTATTTCTGTTAGAGGTGTAAGTCTAAATCAATCTGATGATTTGAAAAAGTCTAACAGTGTAGAAGCCTTTATAAAAGAAGATAAAGCATTATGTTTTGAAAGATATAGAGCTCTGAAATGAATGAATTATGCATAAAATTTTGATAGTTTTAATTTATATTTTGTCTCTTATATATATAGAGTAAGTCATAAGTGAAATTGTAAATAGAAACTTGCTGTTCATACACTGCTTTTCTTTCATTGTTTAACAGGGTTAGACAATATAAGTATTTTTTACACCAGTCTAAACCCTTTTGGTCACAATCTATGAGGTTGTGCTCTATATTTAGTTTTGTTTTGTTTTGTAGAGCTGCAAAATGACCAAATAAACTAAACTAAAAAATATTGAATGTCAGCTGATACGTAAAGCTTTCATGTCGATATTGGTATTCAAAAAGGTGGATTGGTGCATCGCTATAACCAAATGTAAAAGTATTTAAACTGTGTTTTTGAGCTGTGAACTGGAGCTTGTACAGTGTGGGGGTGTGGGTCAGATCTTCTTATTAGAGGGATACAGTTCATACAGTGACGGGAGGTGACCGAGAACCCGGTAAAAGTCGTTGGCTTAATGAGCTTAACAAAGTCACGCAACAGGTGTGCAGCTTTCATTAAAAACACCTCAGAGACTTGGGCGATATAATAAGGTGCTTCACAAGACCTTTAATTCAGTGTGTTATCTTGTATTATAGCATCCAGTTTGTTGAGCTGAAATGTCCCTGTCCTTTCAAGTTCTGTTTACCAGAAATAAACATCAAAAATAACATTTGCTGGCACAAGTTTTCAGTGAGTGCTATTCACATCCCAAAAGCTCAGTTATATGTTCATAGATGGCTGCTTTCGACTGGAAAATACTTTTAATACAATATTTAATAGTCTTTAAGATTTCAATCAAAGCCAAACATTCCATCAGGCAATTACAAAATACAATACAACAAAAATAAAAAGTATCAAGTTGACTTTTTTTAAACAATAATTAACAGAAAGAGAAACATTAAAGCTGCGTTATGCAATTTTGTTCCAAAATCTCACAAATAGTGTTCACTAAAGCTGAATGATGTATCATTTTGGACCGAAAATTGCAATCTCAGACAACATGATTTTGGGAGCGTCAAAGCTGTGTTTTTTTTTCCCAGTGCTCCTAAAGCCCAGTTTATGGATTCATGGATCTGCGTCGAGGTCTGTGCACCGCGATGTAATTCACCACCACAATACAAGGAGATAAGAATTTAAACCTGGCGTTCGTGTAAAGTTTAACATGAACCATCTCCAACGCGATAGAAGCACAGAACAGACTCACCATCAGCAGCACATCCTCTGTCACAGAAAGAACACTCATATTCCACTGAGTCGTGTTCCTTAGTCCAACAGAAGTTGACTGCATGAGGGTACAAGGAGTGAACTGTTTTTGTCAGTGTTTATAGTTTATGCAAATTAGCCATGTGGTTTTAAGTTTCGATTCTATAAAACATAAACAAATGTGCGCAAAACTACATTAAACGTATTATTACTCAATGTATATAGAAAGAAAGGAAAGCGGAGTACAGGAAATGTATGTAGAGAGGAGGTAGAGACGACCAATCACAGCCTTTATTGTCTGCATCATTTTGACGCGTAGTTAAAAAATTTTGGAGGTGCATCATCAAGACAATTTGACGCTGGAACATAAATTGAACTTTATGGTCCAGCGTCAAATTGTCGGTGCAGGACCCTTGCATGATGTCAGATTGTGTGATCTTTGCAAATGTTCATGTGCACTGAAACTTGATTAAAAAAAAAAACAAAATCATGGATGAAACCAAAATGGTAATATCTGCCAGAAAAATCTGAATTAAACTTTTTTCTTTAACTCGTTCAGCCCAAGTATTCACGTGCATTATTTTCTGGGTGTGTGCAAGCCTGGCATCTTTTAATAAAACACAGAATTATTTACTGCAGACAACACACAGCAGTCTGATTTTTGACCCACTGTGCTGTTTCTACAAAAATACACAATTACTTATTTACAAGAATGAAGCCGGGTATGCCACCTTTAATTGGCCAGAGCGCTCAAATATAACAGTTCACTGCTCATTTTACAAACAAAATGAAACTGACTAATGTGTTACAACTGCAGTTTTAATTGGTCAATGATTTTCTCTAGCACTGAATCAGCACAGGCAGCAAAATCTGATCCCCATTGTTTTCAAACTTTCTGCAGCATTTGCCAAGGTCCTGACCACACCGGAGAACTGTACGGAAGCAGCAGGAGAAATGTCACGTAGTATAATAAATCGAAACATATGGACACTGTTAATATAAGCCCTATACCTTTTTACTGCCAACAGAAGGAAGACCATACGTTATGTATAAGTCACAAGCAGTAGTAACACAAACTCCTGGGCATCTCTGCTCAGCTCATCCACGCTTTAACTGTATTAAGTCACTATATTTGAGTGAATGCCTGTATTGTGAGGTAGTTCAGTTCACATGACCAGACCAGGGTGATGTTTTATCTCCAGTCCTCATACAGTCTGACCTTTATGTGGCCTGCCTGGGGTAAAGTCTTGCTTAAGATCTCATAGCAGCAAGGAAAAGTCAAAAATAAACGTGTATTTGCAAAGCTGGTCCCTTCCCTTGCTTATAATCTTGCAGTGCTGTTCCCTCCCTGGCAGCTTTTCTTCTGACTGACTCTGCCTTTTATGGGAAGCAGACAAAGGACCTGGCTGGTAGCGAAGAGTTGGGACAATGCCGTGTACAAAAGCAAAGAGGAAAGCGGTAAAACTAGCCAGATTGTGAACCAAAGAGAAAGCACAAACTTATTAAGATGCGTGTGACGTGAGTGCGCGTGCTGCCAACACTTCTAATGAGCTGAACTTGTACCGCGAAGGGAAAAGAGGTCGGCTTTAAAAGATGAGTCAGCCCAAGGACGCCAAGAAACGCTTCAAGAAACTAAGTATTAGCGAAAAATACGCAACAAATCCAGGTTGCAGCTGACAAATAGAAGACAGACTACTGCAATGGTCAACTTTTGGAGTAGTGTCCTTACTGTAAAGAGCAGGCGTGGCGGTAACGCAAGGACTCATCATGAGGGTGGGCTATGACATACAAGCGCTCTGTAATAAAACCTACACATTTAGCAGCTATACCCAAATTATTATGTTGTAAAAAGAGGCTGTTAATAGTCAAATCTTGTCTTGGTGCTGGTTTATAGCTGGGATCGTGATTTTCTGTCTGTGTCAATTTACATTTTCTTAAGCCAAGTTTCTTTCCTAACTTGCGCATGTATTCAGTAAAGTTATTTTGTATTATTTGAGCATTGTCCAGTAGCTCCTGCCCTGTCGAAGCGTGGTCCACACACGCAACTGGTGAAGCTGCAGAACTTTTCCCGCATGCCTCTTTCTTTTACCTTCTTGTCCGCTGAGTCCGCCGGCTCCTCCCGCAGTTCCTCCGAGCAGCAGAAAACAGACAATAACGAAGAAACGTCCGCATGTCGCCGGTGAAATGTGGGCATTTTTCTGCCTATGTTTACTGTACATCCCTGTGACCCTCGGAGCCTCCGTCCTCCCTTTCCTCGCGCTGCTCAACTCTGCCTCCGCCGCACGCGCGCTGCCTCCGACAAGCTGCGCGCGCTCAGGGGGAGTCACGGGCGTTTCCGGTATGCCCTTATAAAGTAAAAAAAACACGTTTGAGTCCTTGCTTATGGGAAATGTATTTACGATTTGAAGAGTTACACATTAATATTCATTTATTTATGTCTTTCTTTATTTCTATTCAATCATTTATTTATTTTATCCAAGATATTTATTGGACCGCTGATGGACGGAGCATCAAATGTGGGCGAAGAGACATAAGCTAATTGTCAGAGCAGTGAATTGAACACTGAGGATGAAGATTGGATGCAGCAGTACAAGTGCTGCTATAAGCAATCCCCATAATAAAGGATAGAAAAATACTGCAATTTGTCTATATATTGAGGAGCGTTTTCTGGTGTTACAAACACAGAAGTTCTTATTCCGTGCTGCTCCATTTATTGGCTATATCCTGTGCACAGATGGGGCCTGAGCCAGGGTCTTGGATCAGTTCCTGTCTCCTGGGCTATTACCCCACTGAGGGAACTAATCATCCTGTAAGGCTGCAGCAGTTTGTTGCTCCTGGGTTCTGCTTGGACACAACTCAGGGTCCAGACTAACACGAACCACTCAAACAACATTTAGGACCACGACGGAGTAGCTTTTCTACGACCACTACTCTAGTCCGTAAGTGAACTTGAGATTTGTATGACACACGCTTTTATTTTGAAATTGCAGTAGGCCAAATTCCGGTTTAAAGGCGCTGTTTGAATGAACGTCCAAAGTTGGGTAGTGAATATTATTGAAATAAAAGACAGTAAAAGAAATCCATTATTAGTGTGATTTGTGGTGGCAATTAAATATGGTAATGACATCAAATCGTAGCGCTGTTGTTGAGTGTTGAGAGGAAAAACAATTTAATGAAGTGTAGCCAGAGGGCTTTCTGTGAGAGGCATGGCGGGACATCACTCAGTCCTGTGATAATGAACATAAATAATTCAGTCAATTGCCTTTTAATGACGATCAAAATAGCATATTCATAACACCATGATTGAAATCCAAACCGCTTTTGGATCAATTTACATATTTTTATGATCCTGACGATGGCTGCATACATTTGAAAGTTTTAATAATGTATGTGGAAACAATTAAGGCCTGTTATAAGTACAAATATGACATTTCGTGCGTGTGAGATAAACTGAGCATGGGAGATCATCTTAGGAGCAAACCATACAAAATAACATATACACGCATAGGTCTATATGTCAAAAACTAGGAATGTAACAAAAACTAAAATAGCATGATATTGTATCATCAAAAGTATCACAATAATATCGTGGGCTGTCACAATATATCGAATTACAAGTTCCTTTGCTTAAATTCATAGTTTTACAGTAGCAACATTTTATAAAACAAAAATAACTACATATCCCATGACTCATTTCAGTACAGGCAACATGAAAAAATATGTTTTTTAATTGAATTCTTGGGATTCTGACAGTAATAATTCACACCAAAAACTTGTCAAGGTATTTTAAAAGCAAAAACGTGACCAGGACTAAAAAAGGACTGAAACAAGACTAAACCAGGTCTAAACCAGGACTGAACCAGGACTAAAACAGAACTATACCAGGTCTAAACCAGAACTAAACCAGGACTGAACCAGGACTGAACCAAGACTAAAACAGGACTAAACCAGGAATAAACCAGAACTAGACCAGGATTAAAACAAGACTAAAACACTGTGCTCTGTTGGCTCAGGGTTCTCCCTCTCACTTTCAAGTCCAAGATTAATCCTGGTTAAGACCTGGTTCAGTCCTGGTGTAGTCCTACTTTTATGTTTGTACCGAAAAGTGAGGGAATTCTTGGGATTATGACAGTAATAATTCACACTAAAATCTTGTCAAGGTATTTTAAAATAAAAAAGTGTGTCCCATCTTTAATTATTAGTCTCTTCAAAATGTTGCAATAAATATCATACCGTGAGATTCATACCGTGACAATATCGTATCGTGAAACTTGGATATCGTTACACCTCTATCAAAAACTGAAAATCCAGGCCTGTGTAATAATGAAAACGGTCTAGAGAGCAGTGAAAATGTGCAGTATCTAAGCAACATGTTAATATTATTTAGCATTCTTATAGCCTATTATTTAGTTGCATTGTCAACCCTGACTTTTGCTGACCTTGGAATCGATTCCTAGCGTACGTGGGCATCTGCATTCACTACAGCTTTGCCTTCTCCCGTCTAAAAGCTCTGTGTTTGCTCTGGAGAACTTTGCCTATACGGACCATGGATCTGCTTACTCCACAGTGTTAGCGAAAGCATGAAGACTGCATTATCGTCTGTTCATTCCCATTTTCCCGCTGCACGCTGCTCTCATGCCCGCTGTCATTGACTTTGGAATTATGGTGAGGATTTAGAGTGAGCCAGGCAGGGAGGCGTCAGGGATAAGGGCAGATTTATTTCCCCTCATGTGGAAAAGGCTGTCTGCCATAGGACCACTCGAGTGACTCTTATCCAGCCGAGGGGACAGTGGACATTGGGCTCTGTCACTGAGCCGATGCACAAACGGTTTGAGGGTTTTCAGGGGCTATTGTCACTGTCACTTGTTACACTCAAAGGTCAAAAAGCTTAAGATGAACACATTCAAATCCACCGTCCTATTCTCAAGAGGGGAAAGCACTTGCACAAAAGACACTGAAAGGGCGAGTAAAGGCAAAGAACTGGATCCATAATGTTCAAAGAATTTAATAGGCTGTAGTTTAAAGGTCTGAAATTTGGAGAGTAACTTAAAGGGCCTATATTACAATATTTTCTGATCCATGTCCATCTCATCAAAAACAGACCTGGAGTTGTGTTTTGTTTCATTCACACATGTTTAACACCACTGTTGGGCAAGTTACTTTAAAACTGTTCTGTGTTATTTATTACTCATTACTGTCATTTGAAAGTAATTCATTACATTACAATATTACTTAGTTTAAAATGTAAAATATTACACGATTATTGCAGCACTTTAAGTTACTCTCACCAAAATAATTATCAAATAACAATCAGTGAGCAAAGATGCTGAACTTTAGCGCCGTATATGGACTGAGCCAGGACTAAACCAAGACTGAAACAGGGCTAAACCAGAACTGAACATGGACTAAAACAGTACTAAATGAGGACTAAACCAGGTCTAAACCAGGACTAAACCAGAACTGAACCAGGAGGACTAAGCCAGGACTGAACCAAGACTAAAACACCTTGCTCCGCGGACTCTGGGTTCTCCCTCTCACTCTCAAGTCCAAGATTAATCCTGTTTTAGTCCTGTTTTAGTCCTGGTTCAGTTCTGGTTTACTCCTGGTTCAATCCTGGTTTAGTCCTCCTGATTTGGTCCTGGTTTAGTCCTGGTCTAGTCCTGGTTCAGTCCTTGTTTAGTCCTGTTTCAGTCCTGGTTTAGACCTGGTTCAGTCCTGCTTTAGTCCTGATTCAGTCCTGTTTTAGTCCTGTTCTAGTCCTGGTTTTGTCCTGTTCAGTCCTGGTTTAATCCTAGTCTAGTCCTGGTTCAGTCCTGTTTCAGTCCTGTTTTAGTCCTGGTTTAGTCCTGGTTCAGTCCTGATTTAGTCCTAATTTAGTTCTGTTTTAGTTCTGTTCTAGTCCTGGTTTTGTCCTGTTCAGTCCTGGTTTTGACCTGTTTTAGTCCTGTTTTAGTCTTGTTTTAGTCCTAGTGTTGTCCTGGTTCAGTTCTGGTTCAGTCTTGGTTTAGTCCTGTTTTAGTCCAGGGTTTGTCCTGGTTCAGTCCTTGTTTAGCCCTGGTTCAGTCCTGGTTTAGACCTGGTGTAGTCCTTGTTCAGTCTTGGTTTAGTCCTGGTTCAATCCTCGACACACGTGTTGTAGTCTATGATTTATTTTTTGTAAATGTTCTGTAAAAATGGCCTGGTGCCTTTATGTTTGTACTCAAAAGTGAGGGGGTCATATCTCAAACTAATAGCCCAACTTAAACTGGTGTGTTGTCGTTTGTCTGCGGGTGGCGCTAGTGGGCAGGAAGCAGAAAACCCCCCGAGCACACACACTGAAAACAGCCACTCAGAAAACATCTCAGCGTGCTAACCCATAACAATGTGCAGACGATTACTAACCACACAATGGCCTATAGTGGAACAATCATTAAAATGGATGCTGTATAAAAATGCAGTGTTGTGTTCCAGAATGAATTAGAGTGGAGCAGCTCTTGATAGAACCCATTACGGGGAACACACAGTACCAAGTGTTCCAATTTATACAAGTGTCTGAGCAACCAAAATGTGAACCATGCAAACTCTCCCAATATGAGCCCTGTAATAGAAGACGTATTACAAGGGCCGAGTCTTTGTGTGGTCCCTTGGTCTTCCAACTATTTGAACAGAACAGCTGCTCATTCCCACAAACTTATATCAGTGAAAAGTTAATGTTTAGATACCACAATAAACAGATAAATTAGGCTGTATTAGTCCTAAATAGGCTGTACATTCAGTTTTGTGTTCAACAGATAAGATACCAAAGGCTCTAATCTGTGTGTCATTCGTTATCATTCGTTTTTCAAAATAAAACCAAAAATAATACAATGAAAAAAAAACTATAATTTATTCATTATTTGTCTCCAAAACCAAAATGAAAACATGGATAACGTTAATGGATTTGTTGTTGTTTTTTTCAGTTTTTGATTTTGTGTTTAAATGAATAATGGAAAAAATGGATAATAGCCGTTTCCTGTTTCTGTGACTTAAACTGTGATACCGGACTGAAACAGGACTGAACCAGGACTAAAAGAAGACTAAAACAGGTCTAAAACAGGTCTAAACCAGAACTGAACTGGGATGAAACCAGGTCTAAACCAGAACTGAACCAGGACTAAACCGGTCTCAGGCCTGGTCTCAGTCCCAGTCTCAGTCCTGGTCTGGTCCCGGTGTCAGTGCCGGAGTGGTCCCAGTCTGGTCCCAGTCTCAATTCTGGTCTGGTTCCAGTCTGAGTCCCGGCTCAGTCCTGGTCTGGT